TAAGTATGTACGAAATAAATACGATTTTTTTTGTTTGGAGGGGGGAGGGATCATGACCAAGTTACTCCTGTGTGCTCAAGTTTTTGCTGCTCTCCTACTGCCTCTGGGATAAGTATTTTACATTCCAACCAAATTGTACTAGTAGCTGTTCCCCAAACTTAACAGAATCAAATTCTAATCTCCTGCATCTGTGCATTTTCGGAAATTATCCCTAATACCTATAGTACAGGAACTGCCTTTCTCAGAATCCTTATCATCCTTCAAGGCTCCTCTCAAGTGTCACTTTTTTTGCAAGAATTTTCAGGGTCAGGGGCAGCTAGGGGGCACAGTGGATAGAGCTCCAGTCTTAAGAGTTAGGAGGACCTGAGTTCACATTCAGCCTGAGACACTTGACATTTAATAGCAGTGTCACCCTGGGCAAGTCACTTAATTCTGATTGCCTCATCAAAAAAAAAAATTTTTAGGGTCTTTGCAAGCTGCTGCACAAATAAGCCAGCTCAGGTTACAGATAGGTATGTTGCAGTTTATCCACTAGAGTGACCTACTGCATCAGTTGTTGTTGGATATATGTGCCTCACAATTCCACAGATAATGTACGTGTGTGTATGTATATACACATACACACATACACATATATACATACACATACATAGATGTATATACATATATATCTATCACCTAGGGGGCACAATGATTAGAGTGCCCTCCCTGGAGTCAGGAAAACCTGTGTTCAAATTCGGCCTCAGATACTTTCTAGTTGTGTGACCCTGGGCAAGTCACTTGACCTTGTTTGCCTCAGTTTCCTTATCTGTAAAATGAAGTAGAGAAGGAAATGGCAAACCCCCTCTGGTATCTTTGCTATGAAAACACCAAATGGGATCATAAAGAGTCCAACAGGACTGAAAATGATAAAACAACCACAACATTCCTACCCATATCTCTATTTCTATCTCCTTATCTATGTCTATATCTATTTGTTATCTATATCATCTCTCCTCTTGAGCTATCCAACCCAGAGAGTTGATGGGTAAAATGAGGTAGGTCAGGGAAGCAGGCTTACAAAGTAATTTTGGGTAAGATCATTTTTGGGAGACAGGAAAAGGTATATTTTTAGAAAAAGACAAAGGTTGCTTAAACTTATAGAGATCTTTAGGTTAGCTATTTACAGAGAACAGTATTTTCTTTATTAGTCAATTAGCTTCTATTATGTGCCTTATTATGTAAAATAAAGAGAAATGGGTGAGTTTCTGGAATTATTCAAAGTCCTATGAATTTTCTTTTGTAACTGTAAAGTGAATGGGGGAAGGGAAGTAGTGAAGGAGATAGTACATTCCATATCACACAGAAAAAGGGGGAAAAGTAGCAGATACAGTGTAGAATGGAGTCAATTATGTTCTCCCAAAATCCATTTCTGACACTTTCTCTGTGAAGCCTCCCTTGATTCCCCACCCCCTCCATTTAAAAAAAAAAGTGAATATAGTTTTATCCTTTATTGGTAATTCTACAGGCACTTCAGAACCTTTCTTTTTAAATTGATTTTTATGGATACTTTTTGTTTTTATATTGCTTATATTTTTCCCATCTATCTACCCCCTCTCCCCTCCCAGAGAACCAACTCTTGCAACAAAAACATTAAAAAAATGAAAATAGAAAAAAAAAATTAGAAAAACCAATCAATACATCAAAAAACATCTGACATAATATACAATGTTTCTCACTTCTTAGGCCCACAAAGTATGTGAGGAGGATGGACCCATACCCCATTTTTAATGCTTTTTTTTCACCTCCAATTCCTTTGTATTTAATTATCTCTGTACAGGTTGTAAGTGCAGTGGCAGGGCAAACGGAGCTTAAATCACTGCTATGTAGAGCAAGTTGAATACTTACACTAAACTCTTGCTAGCTCTGGGATCCTAGATCAGTCACTTAGCCTGACTCTGTTTCCTTTTTTGTAAAATGGTGATAATAATAGCAACTGTAGTCATAAGGTCAAATGAGTACAGTTATCCCTTCCACATTGTAATTTTTCCCATTGAGGTTTCACTATATCTCAGTTGACATTAGAAATTAAATGGGAATTTTTGGGGAGTTTTGTGAAAGCCTAGACAACATGTGAAGGCCAGCATATGACAAAGAAAAAGTTTAGAAGCTTAGAAATACATAAAATATATGTATAGTATTGTATAATGTAGCCTATGACCAAATACTTAACCCAGATTTTACAGGAAAGTATTGTAAACACCTCATAAAAGAAAAAGAAAAAAATTCAGGCTTTTTCTCTGGTATGGTTATGGGGGATGGGATTTACACTGTACTCCTAAAAGGACCCCAAAGCCCCTGAGCCAAGTCTCTGGGTTTGCCTGAGACACCCAGCCCATCCCAATATAATCCTTTTGACTGCCCTTTCATTGTGGCCCTCATTGTCTGCAGCTGGCCCCATCCCAGGCTATTTTACCACTCCTTAATTCCATCTAGACTCCTCCTCTATTGGCCACTTCTTGATCACATCCAGATCTTCCCACGGTCCCGTTCTGTATATAAAGGTCCATCTTGTCATTAAATTGCTCAGATTCCTTAAGAGTCTGGCCCTCCCCTTTTGGCAAAACAATAAACCTTGTCTTTGACTGAAAGAAGGCTTGAGTTGAATTCTTTCCAGGCAAGACTCATGCCTTTTACCCTTGAATTTTGGGGTTCCCAGTACCCCTAGACCACAACAAAGAGAGGGCCAGAAAATTCTAGGATGATTTTCCAGATCACTGGGGTTCCAAACCCAGTGATGTGGAAGGGATAACTAGTATTTACAAAATATTTTGCCAATCTTAAAGCATTACTTAAATGTCAGCTATTATTATGTTGGTCTCTAGGAATACTAAAATAAACAGTCTATGCCTTTAAGGAACTTAGTTTTGTTTGTTTTTTTGGCAGGGGGGAAGGATTCCTTTTTAAGAAATTAATTTGAATTGTTATTAATATTTCTTGTTTTCACATCATATTCATCCCTGAATGTGTCCCTGCTCTCTTATTCAACAAGTTATCTTCAATTTGTAACAATAGATTAAGAAAGGGGAAGAAAGTTCAACAAAACTAATCAGTACCATCAATCTGATAGTATAGGCAGTGTTTCCCACATGTAGTCCTCCATCTTTGCAAAGGGAAGGAGGGAGGCAGGGATGTGCTGGTAAAGAAATGTATAGGCAAAAAAATTTAAGTTTAATCAGCATTACTGACATTTTCTCCATCACTTTCTTAAGTCTAGACAATCAACAAAATAATAAATCAAGCCCTGATTTGTAGTGTTGGTCAATTTCCAAGGTATAAACTGGCTCATGGTTGGAACTGGCAGCACATCTCTTCTTTGGGGCCAAGTTTGCTCATTATAATTATACATCTATTTAGTTTGGGGTTTTTGTTCTTTTATCCATTTACTTTGTTGTCATTGGGTATATTGTTTTCCTGGTTTTGTTTAGTTCATTCTACAACAATTCATATAAGTTTTCCCATACTTGTCTAAATTAAGTGCCTTATAAAGCAGTAGTATTCCATTACTGTTATGTACTATGATTTGATTTGTTTAGCTATTCCTCAATTGATTAGTGACTACTTTGTTTCAAGTTTATTGCTACTACAGAAAATTTTGCTGTGTATGTTTTGGTATATATAGGATCTTTCTGTCTTTGATCTCTTTGGGGTATATGGCTAGTAGTGGTATTTGTGGGTCAAAGGGCATGAACATTTTGTCATTTTTTTGTTAAACTTAAATTCAAATTTTTTTTCCAGAATGAAGACTAATTCACAACTCTAAGGGCAAAGTTTAGATTCTTATAATGTCTAAGCAGATAGGTAGATACATGGTAATTTTTTAATAATACATTTTATTGATGCTCTTGGTCTTACAAGTCATTGAGGGAAGACACCATTCCTCTCCCTCTACCTCCACCCCTAACTGTCCCTTGCGTCAAAGAGTGACAATTAAGCTAGTATGTCTGTTAGTAATATATATGAACTCCTCCCCAGGGGTCAGATGGGAGGTAAGTGTTAGGAGGGCTCATTTATGGAGGAAGAAGGTGGGGAATCCGGAAGGATTTTCAGAGGGAAGAATGTGAAATAAAGCTGGAAAGGTAGGTTTGGGGCCAGATTTAAGATACCAAGCAACTTTATGGAGGACTCATTGGAGGGAGAAGAGATGACTCCATTGAAATAGTCTGAGTCACAGACAATGAAGGACTGAGTTTGTGTGGTGGCTATGGGATTGAAAAGAAGGGACAGATAAGAGTGTATAGGTAGAAGCAACCAGAACTAAAAGATAACAGTGTCTGGGAAGCTAAAAGGGGAGAGAATGTTTAGGAGAGGAGTGAGTGATCAACAGAGTCGAAAGTTTTAGGGAAATCAGGGAAGATGAAGACGGACAAAAGGCCACAGATTTAGCAGTGGAGGGATCCCTGGTAATCTTGGAAAGGACAATTTCAAGACAGTAGTTGGGTAGGAAGCTGGATCCTCTGAGTGGTGGGGGTGAAGGCAGAGAGAGTAGCTAAATCTTCCTAGGAGTTTGGCAGTGAAAAAGGTAGAGGAGAAAGTTAGAGGGGCAGATCCTAGGGAAGTTTGTTTGGTTTGTTTGTTTTTTGGATTATACCTGTGCAATCATGTAAAATATTTCTCTATTAGTCATTTTGTACAAGAATACTAGGTTAAAAGAAAAAAGAATGAAAGAGAGTAAAAAATAGCATGCTTTACTCTGTATTCAGACAATATCAGTTCTTTCTCCAGAGGCAGATAGTATGGTTCATCTTTATTACTTTGGGATTGTCTTGGATCATTGTATTACTCAGAATAGCTAAGTCATTCATAGTTCTTCATTGTCCAATATTGTTGTTACTATGTACAAGATTCTCCTGGTTCTGCTCACTTCATTTTGCATCAGTTCATGTAAGTCTTTTCAGGTTTTTTCTGAAATCATCTTGCTTGTCATTTCTTATAGCACAGTAATATTCCATCACAATCATGTACCACAGCTTGTTGAGCCATTCCCCATTTGATGGACATCCTAGGGAAGAATAAGGGAGACGGGTATGTTTATGTGAGAAAAAAGGAAGGAACAAGTAGAAAGAGAGAGATTGAAGATGAGACGGGGAAAAGAATGATTGTTGGGTCAAAAATCTAAGAGGAAACAAACAGGAGGGGATGGAATCAAAGACAAGGTTGGAGAGGGGTAGCTTTGACAAAGAGAACTTCCTTGGAGACTGGAGCACAGGAGAGGTTGAATAAATGTGTATAAGCATTCAGAGGTATGGATACTGGAGATGAGAGAACTCATGGTTGATGACCTCAATTTTTTGCTTGATAAAGTAAGAGGAGGCAGCAGAGTGGAAAGAATGCTGGTTTGAGCATCAGAGGAACTGGATTTGAATCCTGGCTTTGTTATTTAGACTTCATGACCTTGAAAAAAATCATACAACTTCTCTAGTCTCCATTTCTTGATCTGTAGAGTGAGAGGACTGGATTAGATGATGCTTAATAGCCCTAAAGCTATTATCCCTATGGTCTGAGAGAGGAGGGGGTTGGGAGAGATAAAGGGAGCTTAGCTTGATATCATTATCTTGAGAAAGGACCTCAGGGGACACCTAGTCTAACCCACTCATTTTACAGACGGGGAAACCAAGGCCCAGGGAGGTTAAATGTTTTGCCAGAGGTCACACAGAAGTAAGCATCTTATAGGCAGGATTTGAACCCTTGCAAAGAGGCATTCTATGAATATTTGTTGATGAAAATGAAGCAAAAGAAAGGGGACAAAGGTGGTGGAGAGAGCAATAGAAGAGCTAGTTCCAGCAGCACAGAACTATAACCGGCAGTGGATGGTCTGAAGGTCCCAACCCTTGTTTTGGTGGTTAAATATCACTCACTGGATCTGATTGGCATTAATTGGCCAACGTCAAGGCAGTAGGTAGCTTGGCTTGAAAAATGAGGGAGAGAGCCTTGGAAATAACTCATAGTCACCAAGATCTTGATGTGGTGATGCAGAAAGCTTGCCCTCTAAGCCCCACCCCATTTCCTGACTTCCCTATATTTTTGCCAAGAGCACAACCATCCTTCCAGTCACCTAGATTTTGCATCTCTAGAAGCCATCCTAGACTCATTATTCTTGCTCACCGCCCACCCCCAGCCCCTATGCCCTACTCTGTATCCTGGGTTCAAATCCTGCCACTGCCTCTTATTATTATTTGCCTTGTGACTTTGGGTTAGTTACTTAACCTCTTGGACCTGTTTCCTCATCGAAATAATGAAGGGGGAAGACTAAGTGATCTTTCAGGTTCCTTTGAGCTCTAAATCTATGATCTTAGGACTCAATCAATCGACAGATTTTTTTCATCCACTTAATTTGTGCTAGGTGGTGCAGTAGATGGAGTGCCGGACCTGGAGTCAGAAAGACCTGAGTCCAAATACAGACTCAGATACTTAGTAGCTGTGTGACACTGTCCAAGTCACTTAACCTGTGTTTCCCTCAATTTCCTCATCTATAAAATGGGGATAATCATAACTAGAGTTGTTGTGAGGATCAAATTAAGTAATAATTTATAAAGCACTTAGCACAGTGCCTGGCACAAGATAAACACTATAGAAATGTTAGCTATTATTAATATTGTTGTTGTTGTTATAGTTTTTATTAATTATCTTATGTTTCAGAGCTGGAACACTGAAGGTTAAGTGATTTGTCCAGGATCACATAGCCTGTACATGTCAGAGGCAAGGGAAAACTTGAACTCACTTTTTTCTGGTTCTGAGACTGGCTCTTTTTCTCCCTCTACTATGTCAAACTGCTTGGCATATTTGTTGTATAGTTGTTTCAGTCATGTATGTCTCTTTGTGACCCCATTTGGGGTTTTCTTGGCAAAGATACTGGAGTGATTTGCCATTTCCTTCTCCAGCTCGTTTTATAGATGAGGAAACTGAGGCAAACAGGGTTAAGTGACCTGTCCAGGGTCACACAGTTAGTAAGTGTCTGAAGCTGGATTTGAACTCAGGAAGATGAGTCTTCCTGACTCTAGGCCCTGCACTCTATCTACTGCACAATCTAGCTGTGCTTGGCATATAGTGGGGCTCAGTAAGTGCTCATTGAATTTAATAAAATGGACTGCACCAAACATCAAAAGAGGAAAGGTTGAGGAGGGCTCCAAATGTCTAAAATTCATTCTCTTGTGGCAGTGCTTCTAGCCGATCACGTATGTGAGTCTCAGGCTTTTACAACATTGCATCTTTTGTTTCTTGCAGATTAATTGAGGTCTTCAAACCCTGTCTGGTTACAGCTGCTGAAGATGCTCCCCAGAGCTGGGATCTATTACTTTCCTTGGGAGATCAGTTCTGGTATAGTCCCAGAAGGAGAAACTGTGAGAACGTTTGGCAGGTGAGTGTGGTCTCATTTTCCTTCTGTGCAATTTGTTTTTTAGACTATCCTTTTGAACTGGAGGTGGTAACGATTCTCTTTTCACTAAATTTCAGGTTCCACTGTTATGATATAGTTCGGTCCAGAGTTACTTTAGTTGCTCAGCACGAATCAGCCCAGCGTCAGGTCCACATCTGCACCAAGTTGGTGGAGCCGTTCCACGCCCAGCCAGGGTCCCTGTATATTGTACTGGGGGAATATGAACGGGGCGATGGTAAGCACTGACCTTAGGACCTCTTTGTCTCTCTGGAGCATGATAGGGTGGGGGCACCCTGGAATCCCCCAGGAGCCAAGGCTAACCTTATCATAGCTTATGATACAGCGATGCTTTCTTCACTGACCTTAGCATTCTCTAAGAACCAGAGGTCAGCCTTAGAGCACAGAGACTCCCATATATGATGATGTGGCAAGTATCAGGTGTAATTTGAAGATGTCCTAAAGGTCTCAAGTTAGAAGCAAGGCAAGTAGATTGTGCAGAAGATGGAAAGAAACTGCTGGGGCCTGAAGAGAGGGAGGGAAGAGGCAGGGAAGAAAGGGGCAAGGGGGGTGGTGGTGAAGGGTAAAAGCTGGGAACGTAATACAGGAGAGGTTGGGGAAATGGAGCTACCTTTGGACTTAATAGTGTTTGTTTGCTGGTTCCTAGGACTTTGCTCCTTTTCCCTTGAAGAAACTAGGGTAATGGTGGTTTCTGAGGACTTTGACACTCTAGGAGTTTCACTGAGAAGCTGATTGCAGTAAGGAGGACTTTGCTCCTGACTGCTTGACCTCATCTTACCCTTTGGCACACTGCTTTTCAACTGGGACAGAGAGGAAGGAACACACACCCAAAGTAGGGTTTACCTAAGTAACACATTTAATTACATTGAAATGACTTTCAATTTAAAATCATAATCCTATTTAAATCTTCAAGCTTACAGATGTCCAGCCTATACAATTGATTTTGGGGAGGGGTGAGTGAGAAGGACCTTTTGCAATGATGAAATAACCCCAGACTTCGGAGCATTGCCCTCAAGGGTTACCTTGACTTTGTCCTGTGTTCCAGCTATAGGTACAGCATATCTCCAGTGAGATTAGAGGACTCTAGGTGACCTCTTGTGCATTCTTCAAGTCCCAGAAGAAAGGGATCTGAAAGACAACAAATTAAAGTGAAATTTTAAAGGTCATAGACTTAGTGGCCTTTGTGGTCAGAGAAAAGGAAAGAAGCATACAAACATAAAGGCACACAAATAGTCCCTGCCTTGCAAAGCTCTGGCTAGTCAACAGAGGGAAGGCAGAGAATGGTCCTTTCTGAGATCTCTTCTTTGGGACCTTGGATTTTTACTTTCTACTTGCCTGGTAATATTGGAAAAGATAAAGGAACACTGGAGAGCAGCGGGGAGAATGGGAAAGGGGCTGGGATTTTCTGTGTTGGCCAAAGGCCAAAAGCAAAATCAGTCATGTATCAGAGTTATAGAATATGCTGGAGCGGTAAGAAATAACAAATTTAGGGGCTGCTAGGTGGCGCAGTGGATAGAGCACTGGCCCTGGAGTCAGGAGAACCTGAGTTCAAATCCAGCCTCAGACACATACCACTTACTAGCTGTGTGATCCTGGGCAAGTCACTTAACCCCATTGCCTAGCCAGAAAAAAAAAAAAAGAAATAACAAATTTGGGGAATTCAGAGAAATAAGGAGACACTTGCAAAACGAGGAGAATAATCTAGATGTGTAGATGGAAAGGTCTCGGACCTCTAGACAGAAGACTTCCCATCTCCTACCATTGGTGGACTTTCCACTGATACCCAGTGACTGAGGAAGACATTTTGTGGTGCTCCCTTCTTCCTCCTCTGTTAATACTAGCTAGTATTTATATAGCACTTTAAAATTTGCCAAAGCACTTTACAAATATTATCTATTTGATCCTCACAACAGCCCTGGGAGGTAGGTGCTGTTATTAACCCCATTATTATGGATGAGGAAACTGAGGCAGACAAAGGAACTAGCACATGTAGTATCTGAAGCCAGATTTGAACTCGGGTCTTCCTAACTTGAGGTTTAGTGTGGTAGCCACAGCACATCTCAATGTGCCTAGCTGGCTTAAGCTCTACCCAGCAGTCAACTGGCTGGGCAGGGTTCAAAGCTCCTTGATACATCACGATCTTCCCACACACTACATTGTTGTTGTTGTTGTTGTTTAGGCGTATAACCCCATTTGGGTTTTTTTTTTTTTTGGCAAAGATCCTGGAGTAGTTTGTCATTTCCTTCTCTGGCTCATTTTACAGATGAGGAAACTGAGGCAAACAGAGTTTAGTGACTTGCCCAGGTCACAAAGTAAGTGTCTGAGGTCAGATTTGAACTCAGGTCTTCCTGACTCCCCACCTGGTGCTCTATCCACTGCACTACCTAGCTGCCCCATTCACTACATACAAGGAAGTATCTGATCCAGTTGGACCAGCTTAAAACAGCCATCCAGGTTTTACAGCCACCTGTGTTTTCATTTCCTGTTTTACTTCGATCTTAAGTTAAAGTGATGTCTTGGATATTTTTCCCCCCTTTCAGTGCTTGTGATTCTCAAGAAATCCAGGTCCTTTCTGACTCTTGTCTCATAACCCCACATAACTGATAGCAAGATTAAACCATCTTCCTTCAAAATTCATGATACCTAGTCTGGCTGCTTTTCACTCTTTGAGTACCTTGTCCCATAGTTTCCTTAAAATAGTCTCCCTTTCTTGCACACACTTGTATATACTGTTCTGTCTTGCAGATCTGAATTTGTTTTCTGTAGTCTAGGACCTTTATGCCTAAAAGAAATTCCAAAAAAACAATAATAGCGTATGTGTGTGTGTGTGTGTGTGTGTGTGT